CGGCGTCTATTGTAGAGCAGCACAACGGAGCATCCGACGTTGGAGTCTGTGCTTCGGTGTTGGGAGGAGACCGTTTGAATTGAAATTGGGAAGATGGAGATTAAGGTTTGTGTAACCCTAAAAATCATGGAAATTACATATTAATAAAATTTGGGGGTAATTATGTAATTTCAGGTCTAAAAAATCTTCACCAGCTGCACACTCGGCGAGTGTGCAACACGAAAATGCACTAGGGGGGTTTTTGCATTTAACAAAATTTCATAGGGGGGTTTTTGCTAGTTTATTTATCATAGGGGGGTTTTTGCTAGTTTGAAATTACACAGGGGTACTTTTTGCAGTTTACTCGTAATTGGTGATTGATAATTGTATTGCTATTTAGATGTATTAATTAACTACATTTACCTATTGATGGTGGCCAAAAAAGATGGCAATAATGCACTATTCCCTAAAAGTAGAAACTTTTCCATATATATATATATATATATATATATATATATATATATATATATATAATCACATTTTAATATATAAATAGGTGTAGGATGAAATTTATACATGCAAATTAATTAAATTGATTAATAGATATGTAATATAAATAGCATAAGATGAACTTGGAAGATACTATCGCCAGATAGGTTTAGCTTTTCATGTGCTTCTTCCTATGTAGGGGGGATTGTTGTCTTTACAATATTTTTATATGATATATCATATTTAATTAATTTCGTCACTAAATGATTCATTACGTCGGCCTTTTCGATCTCGTATAATATTTTACTTTAGAAAATCTCATAATACGATATTTTCGATGTACAAAAATCTGGGTCCAAATGGTTATGATTTTATTGGAAAAACAAATATTTGTTAAAAGTCCCTCAAAATATAATGTTATTAATAACAATGATATCAGTTTTGTTGTTCGATAAAAAGGTCATCGTTCGTTTTACAAAAATACTTACGTATTTCCGTTTACTATTCTTTCTGGAAATAGTGTGGGTGGGTGCGTTAACTAGCAAAAATCTTACTAATAATAAAAAAATAGATATATCATAATTCATGTACAATAAAACATCGATAAATTAATAATATCGCTTATATAATAATTTCTTATGGTCCCGAATTGGTAAAAAAATTAAATTGTATATATAGACAGAGAGATAAAGAAAGATTAATTACTGGTCAATATCTTGCCCAACAAGTATATAATTCTTCACAAAAGGAATTCGGATAAGATGAAATGAAGACTTAAAATCTTCTAGAAGTTGTTTATGCTTCTTTTGTATTGGTCAATAGATATCCAATCAGCACTAATTAATTTCCATGATTTAGGAACAAGATTGGAAGCACAAAGCATAAAGCACTTCCTATTAAAATATTACATCTTCCTTTTATTTTACTTTATTTTATTTATGAAAATAAATAGTAAAAGATGATTGGCTGGGAATCGTTTTAATTTCACATAAAATCTCACGATAATTCAATTTATTTTCTTGAAGCTTTATAACCACTACACCACACACTCACCGCCTTAACTTACAGACTAACGGTAAATTGACAAAAATGGTCAAAAAGGACCAAGCGTGCTTTTTGGGGACCAAATGCAAATTGGTGCAAACTTGAGGGACAAAAAGTGTAATTTTCATCAATTATAATGCATTATTTTTAAATAAAAGGGATACACATGATTTGAAGAGTAATAGATAACATAATAAGTATTACTTGTTTCCTAAATTGAATGGTTCAAAAATAAAATAAGAAGTTGTACAAGAAAGAGAGAACAATAAACTCTCAAACTAAACACATTGAAAAAAAATAAACTCTTGCACAAATAATACCATAGCTATTCCTTCCTATTACATCAATGTATATCTATCAGAACAATCTCTCTCGGGGTTGGGGTGAATTGCAATAATTTCAATTGTCTACAACATATTACGAGGGTTCAATTTCGATAACATTACTGGTAAAAAAAGAAGAAAAAAAAACGAAACATCAAGATGGTACCTTCTTAGAAAACCGTTGTAGAGACTTCTGCAGTAGTAATTGATCCTCCCCCACTTCGTTTCTCTTCCTCTTCTTTTTCGACATTTCAATATCTCTACTCTGTTCATCCAAGAAAGGCTTCTTCGCCATAGCCACAATTTCCTGCTTCTTTCTTGCCACTTTACTCGGTTTGCTCCTACCTTTCGTTTTCTTCTTCATCGGACGACTCTTGGCACCTTCCACGGCCGATTCCAGCTCAGCATCCTTCTCCTGCTTAGTTGGCTTCACTTTCTTCCTATTGGGCCTCACCGAACCAATCTTTGTAGGGTCCAGCATAATAGTCTCGGGGGGTAATTTGTCCAGAAGCGAACGCACTTCCTTCTCGTTTCTCTGCTTACGTGTCTCGAACGGATTCGCCACCCAAGTGTCGAAATTCGCCTCACCAGATCCAGGAATCAATATCGAAGACCAACCCATCGAATGCCCAATTGCCAAAACATCCTCGTAAGGCCTAAAAGAAACATTTCGTATTTGGTACCCTTTTACAATTGAGTGACCCATATACCGGCTATAATCCGACGACCCGTTTAGAGCTCCCAGTATCTGGACGAAAGATCCGGTTCCAGTGGCGAGCAAACCCTTGTGGCTGAAGTCAAGTGTCTTTGCATGGCCAGATAGTGTTTGGACAACCTCGTATTTCCTCAAATCCCAGATTTTTATTTTTCTTTCCATGCCAGCTGTCGCCATGAGGTGGCCGTTTGGGTGGAAGGCCATAGCTGTGAGGGGGCCTTGATGACAGAGCATCTTGACGAGTGGAGCTGCTGAGGTGGGCTTCCACATGCTGACTGTACCGCCGGAGTGGCCGACTGCTACCACGTTGTTGAACGGGTTGACCCGCATTGTGTCGGATCGACCCAGACCCGTTCGGTAGTTGCCTATCATTATGCCTGTTGTGATGTCTTGGAAATGGAGCTGACCGAGTTTGTTCATGGATGTTAGGAGGAAGTGCTTGTTCAGGAACTGAAGCTTTGTTACAGCACCGTGTTCCTGGAGAAAAAACGAGATTTGGGTCGCATTTTGATTTCTAGATGTTAGAATTAGTAAGTCCAAGCACCGATACATAGGTTTGCTATAAGCATATACAAACTGAGATGAAAAAATGTAACATCTGGAGGGGACACTAGTGAAGAGGATATATATACACACACACACACTATGAAAATTACTTCAGCATGCTAAAATATGCAAAAGAGTTAAAATTAGGTGAGTTGCTAACCTTCAGGCAGTGCATTTCAGTACCCTTCTCGTTATACATATACACATACCTGTCACATTCAAACAAAACGGTTCAGAAATGTGCATCAAGATTTGTTCTTTATCATTATCTAATTTTGTGAGAAAATGGGTGAGAGAACCTACTTCTTTTGAGCAGCCGCTAAAAGCTTCTGATTGTGCAAAAATACCACATCACGAACTGTTTCCCTAACCTGGAATAAATATTTGTAATACAGCATATATTAACACAGCTTCTCAGAAACGAGTCCAAAAATAAAGAGAAAGCTGGCTTCATTTGTTTCGAAAGCAGATGATGAGTCATGAATGTACTATAAATTCAGTTCTGTTCAAAAACCAAAACTCAAACTGACCTGCAATATAAAATATTATACCTTTGTTTCTCATAAGAATTTTCACCTCCTGTTCACTTTTCCCCTTTTACTCTCAAACCAAGAATTTAAGAAGCCTTGGCATAAAATTATCATCAAATACATGTCAAATTTTATGATTGTTTTGCTTGGTTCCTTTATCTTATGCTGCTTCTGAGAACGGGACCTCCTTTTGTTTCTTTTATTGAGTGGAAAATTTGCAGAATCTAGATTCTAGCCGATAGTTATATGCTATACAATATATAACAGGCTTTAACTTTTTAAGTGTCATATCTATAAGGGAATAATCATATATTTTGATCTTTTTAATGTGCAATCTTAAGATTATTTATCTACTTTTTAGGGTCGGCTTTGCAGCTAAGTTTGTGCTTGTCATTTTTACACGTGAACAACAATTCTAACTCAGTACCTTTGAGGGAGAGAACAAAATTTTGCAATGTTCTCTTCCTTATTCTTTTAAGCACGAGGAGAACAGTATTCTCAATCAAGATTTCTGGCATAATTTCATGTAAGGCTCAGCTTAGCAAAGAGCCAAATATGTAACCTAAGCAACCAAAAGCTACAGTTCATCGTAATTCTTTCTTTTCAAGGATGCTATGCCAAATGCTTACAGATTACACTTTGTCATTATAAATGGAGAAATCAGGATGTTTTAGCTTTTAGCTCATTAAGAACTCAAACGAGCTGCCATTATGGGATCATAGATGAAGAAAATTGTAACATATTTTGAGCAGACATCAACATATATTTAGCTGGTTAAAACCCTTACCATAATCTAAAACCTAAACATTAATTGTAAATCAGTATGCATACACATAATCAGAAAAATATTGGAGTACCTGAAATTCTTTAATGAGGTCCATATTTTTCATGTCTAAAAGAGCCAAATGGCCTTTTCTTCCAGCTGCAACCATATATCGACCACTCAGGCTGAAATCCATTGTGTATGGACCAAGATCTGAAAATAAATATATTTCTAAACATTAAAAGAATGAACAACGAACAAAATTAAGCCTATACCGAACTTTTCCCTTTTTCTTCTGTAAATGGATGACAACAACGAGAAAGAGACAGGAAACCCAGATAATCTCACAGAGCCAAAGGAATTGATGAAGTGACAGCAAAAATCAATTTATAAAGTTATTTGTAGTCGTACGGCACTTAAGTATAGATAAACTCTATGGTATTTCCCCAAAGGAAGTGAGTCACACCTTTTAAAGGTATGGGATTGATCATATAACCGTTAACTACTTCTTAGCCAATAAAGAAACATGAAAAAGGCTTAAAAGAGAAAATCAACCTATAAAATGCTTACATATCGAACTGTAAAATATTTATACTACATGTAGTAGAAATCTTGCATCGGTTTCACCTTTTTCCAATGAAACAGAACTGTTTTATTTTCTCTGTGTTTCTGTTTTTGGACAATCTAAATTTATTCTCTTGAGCCCAACTACATCGGTACTATATCCAGTAACATGAGACGACAGTGAGCTAAGCAAGTAGTTCAAGTATCTTAACAGTAAATAGAACGAGTACGAGGGAAATTTGATTACATCAGTAAACCATGCGGAAGCAAACTAAGAAATACGAGGTCTTAACCTGGCAGGACAATATCGAATTGCTTTCTCGAACTCAGAATATCCACTTCAGCAGCAATTGCTTCTTGTTTATCCTCCATGTTTTCTCTATACCCTCAACTTCAAGATAACCACCTTCACTTGGCATAAGCCACTAAGAAAATAAAAAAATAAAAAAATAAATTACATTATTCTAGAAATTAAGAATGCAAACCTAATCATTTACTCATAGTAAAAACGAAAAGAGTTACTTTTTCAGCTTTGGCAGCAGCTTGTGCAGACTTCCCAAACAAATTCTCCCTCGCAGCTAATTGACCCTTCAATTTCTTATCTTTCAACACCTGATTTAGAAAAATCAGAAACAATTACCACAAAATCGAAACGAAAAATTGCAGGTGTGGCAATAGTAAAAATCTCGAAAAAATTACCGACCTCTAAATCAGCGGCTTCGCCTCTGAGATATTTCTTTACATTCATTTCGTCTTCTTCGGAAACACCCTGAAAATCCGAAAGCCACTTCAATAAACAAATTTCCACACAACATAGAAAAAGTTCAGAGAAATTGCTAGTACTACTAGGGTTCACTTTTTTACCTTTTCTGCGGCGGGCATAGAAGTTATTCGGTCCGCCTTGGCTGCCTTCACCCCCATTTTGATTGAGTTTTCACGGTGGCGCCTTACGGGGAATTTCGACGGTGGTGTTACACGGCGGAGGTATGGCGAGAGAGAGGCTCTAAAACCCTGAATGCCGTTTCGCTGAGAATTAAGAGTTGAAAGGGCGGGCTTTTTGGACCATATATTTGATACATGGGCCGGCCCAAAACTCTATTTTTAAGAATTTTATAGTTTTCACCCGTCAAGTTTTCACCGATTACACATTTGGTCTCCATGTTCATAACAAATACATTTGGTCCCTCATGTTTAAAAAAATCAACACTTTTAGTCATTTCTGTGAATTTTCCGTCGCTACTAACAGAATAAAGTGTGTGGTTATCACTCAATTAACTGATGGACTAAAGGTAAATTGACGAAATGATAAAAAATGTTACTTTTTAGAAACCTGACAGATCAAATGTGTTTTTATGAACATGGGAGACTAAATATGAAATTAATCAAAACTTTAGGAGTGAAAATGGTAATTTTCCCATTTATTTTTACTTTTAAAAAATATTTTTTTTGATACTTAAATTTATGAAACTTTCACTAAACTATTTTTCTCTTGATACTTATAATTTCACTTCCTTGTAAATGTCTTCATCACAAAATATAAATAAATATTACTTTACTTCTCTAATTTTACTCCCAATATTTATTTTTCGAGATAAATGAAAATATATACACAAAAGGGCTTAAATTTTTGCACCCTTGCAATGTAGCAAATTGGCATCTTACAATCTTGGAAAAAATTAATAGCACTTTGCACCTTCTAAACATAATATATTATTCACAATGCACCCTATATTTAATATTTAAAATTTATGGAGGATTATTTCATGTTTTATTGGCTTTTTATTTCTAGGGTGCAAAATAACAAATTACAATTGTTAATTTCTTCTACCTCCAACATAATTTCAATCGTCCATAATGCGATGAAAACAAATTCACAACAAATTATTGAAAAAACAATATTTTTCATGCTAAAAAAGTAAACTTTTCGGATTAAAATAGTTTATAAGATGTTTAACAGCTTATAAGTTCTTCCAAAGTGTTCGGTAATTTGTTTTCAAAAATATCTTAAAACTAAAAACAATAAATTGTTGGTAAGCAAATATTTTTTTTTTAAAAAGAAATACATTTACCTCATCTTTTAATTTAAGATCTTACAATGAGTAAAATAACTATAATATCATTATCTAAATACTTTAAAAATTATACCTAAAAATTAGACGTAACATCTTAGAGCAACTTGTGCTAAAATTTATCACTTATCAAATTATATACGGTAAACAGTGTTTTAGCACGCCACTTTGTCTGACTCATAGTGGTTGTTTGGGAAATTCTATGCTACACCTGGTGAATATAACCAGGCACCCTAATTAATAAGATTTCCACTACGGGTTCAGTTATGGCCCAATGGGTTTTTAGAAATATAATTATAAAATAAATAAAAAAGGACACATGTCAAGAAAAGAGACACCCGGTGAAAATCACCAGGTGTAGCATCATATTCCCCGTGGTTGTTTATATTTTAAAACATCACTTGATTTTGTCATTTCACCTCCTTGGTGTTTCAAATTTGACAAGCCAAATTTATAATATACTACGAGGTCTATAATATAAAAGAGTTGCTGGAGCTCCAATTTTTTCAGTAAAAGCGGTAAAATTTGCTAGAATTTAGCATATGGCACAACTATTGGAGTTGCTCTTATCAAATCTTAAAACAACTTTATTAGATATAAAAGTTTGTCAAAACTTATAAGTGTTTAAAATAAACTTAGCCAATCGGGATTAATTCTCCTACAAATCCCATCAACAAAAAACAAAAATATTAAAAAGTCGAATGTATCGATGTAGTAAGCATTGGTTTCTCAGTCTAAATTATACGCAATCCAAGAAAACTTGATACATCAATGATTATACATATAGATTATAGTCTATAGAGAGAGAAACACACTGGGCCTGTATAAATACTCCCCAGAATTCTAGAGAGAGAAAGGCATGCATCATCATCATAACATGGGCTCAGACAACAAGCAAGACCGCCGTCTGAAAGTGGTGGTGATGTTTCCATGGCTAGCACACGGCCACATAACTCCATTTCTAGAGCTGGCGAAGGCGCTCTCTCACAGGCATTTCATCAGTCACCTTGTCTCCACACCTGCAAACCTCACCTCCATCGCCAACAAAATCCCACAAGCTTACTCCGCGTTCATCCATCTCGTCGAGCTTCATCTCCCCTCCCAAAACTCGCCGGAGCTTCCCCCGCACCGCCACACCACCAACGGCCTCCCGCTCAATCTCCACCCCGCCCTCAGGAAGGCCCTCCGGGCGGCGAAACCCGATTTCTCGAACCTCGTGGAAACCCTCAACCCCGATCTGCTCATCCACGACATCCTCCAGCCGTGGGCGGCGGCAGTAGCGTCCACGCACAAGATCCCGTCCGCCGCGTTCTCCACCTCCGGCGCCGCCGCGGTGTCGTACTTCTCCCACCTGGGTTCACGTAGAGGCGTCGAGTTCCCCTTCCCGGCGATCCGTCTCACCGCCTCCGAGTTAACCATGGCGTTCGGCGATATCGAGTCCCACCGGAGCGAAGAGAGAGAATATTCCGACGAAGACGCCGCCGCCTTTCGGAACAACAACGGGTTCATGCTGGTGAACAGTTCTAGAGAGATAGAGGGCAAATACATAGATTATTTATCTGAATTAATCACCAAGACTATCATACCAATTGGTTCATTGGTTAATCAAGATCCATTAATCATTAAAAATGATGATGGTGATGGTGATGATGACGTTGATAGTGACGTCATCATGGATTGGTTGGACGAAAAGGACGAACTCTCGAGCGTGTTCGTTTCGTTCGGGAGCGAATTCTTCCTCAACGAACAAGAAATCGAAGAGGTAGCCCATGGTTTGGAGTTGAGCGGTGCGAACTTCATATGGATCATAAGATTCCCAAACGGTGCTGGGCCGGGCCGGGCCCACGAGGCCCTACCGGAAGGGTTCGTCGAACGGGTCGGCGGACGAGGCATGATCCTGGAGAAATGGGCCCCGCAGGCGAGGATTTTAAGCCACTCGAGTATAGGTGGATTTGTGAGCCATTGCGGTTGGAATTCTTTGAAGGAGGGCTTGGATTTGGGAGTTCCGATTGTAGCTGTGCCGATGCACCTTGATCAGCCGATGAATGCGAAATTGGTGGTGGAGATTGGCGGCGGCGTGGAGGCGAGAAGGGGCGGTGATGGGAGGCTTTGCAGGGAGGAGATAGCGAAGGTGGTTAAAGACGTCGTTTTCGGGACGATCGGGGAAGAGTTGAGGAGAAGAGTTGGAGAGAAATGGGAGAGTGTTAGATTGAGAAGTGGAGTTGAGGTGGAGGAAGTTGCATTGAAGTTGGCTCAACTTTGTGTGGAGGGGGGGAATTTTTTGCATGTTTAAACTGATGTTTACAAGTTCATATTTATATTTTTGGGTAAATTACAACCACACCTCAGGTACGATAAAATTACGAAGACCTCCATTCTGTTTGGGTAATTACAAAAACCCCTCTCACTTATAAATTTTCTTACACGTCCACCATTGCGGTTTCAAATTTAATGGAATTTTCTTGATTATATGGAAAATTATCACTTTTGTACCCGTTTTATCCCATTCGAGCTTCATATTTTGAAGCAAGATGATCATAAGATGTGTTTTTTAGCTTGTATATATCAGATTGTGGTGCACCAGAAACTGTATTTTTACACAAAATTACGAGTACAAACTAGAGCATATTCCACGAAATCTAGATGATTATGTTGAATTTGACACCATAAGGGTGGAGGTGTAAGAAGATTCATAGTTGAGGGGATAGATGTCATTATTCAAACAAGAGGGAGTTTTTCGTAATTTGACCATATCTCAAGGGGTGGTTATAATTTATCCTATATTTTTTGATTTTGTTGTATAATAGCTTTACTCTATGTGCAGCTTGAACTATTATTACGTAGCAAATAACCGATTAGGTTTACGAGTGTTGGGTGCTAAATACCTAACACGCAAGTGCACGTATTGCAAACAAGTAGTAAAAGTGGACTCGTGAGAGTCGGATGTCGATCCCACAAGGAATACTCAAATTATCTAATCCTAAGTACCAAACTCTAACAATTATGATTTTTATCCAGCCTATGCAAAGTTGTCAAATCTAACTAAACTAATTATGAAAGCAATAAAACACGAGAAAATATCAATAAAAACGGACCTAGGATTTTATCTTCCCCCTATGCAAGAATTGCTCACCCCAAACCCCTCAATTATGAAATATATGATTCATGATTATTAACCCGAGACACTAATTTACTCATAACCCGCTGTCGCGTGTATTATGAGTCTTTTATTCATAAACGGTTCACTATATGTCTATGCAAACAAATAATGAATAAAACATTAACTAAGAAGTCTCGTAAATGGCTACCTAAGGTGATATCTATATGTCTACGACACCACATGCAATTGACACACTCATGCGGTGAAAACTACTCGAAGGTTCTTATACTTACCGTCTAATTATCAAAATAGCTTTGTCGAGTCAATCCCAATAATCACGGATAAAGCACATAAATTGATCAAGTTCATGCACTAACAATCATAACAAGTATAAGAAATAATCATAAAATCATAATTGCATAATCTCAAGAAAACGGGTTCACCATCCCCACATAGGGTTCCAACAAAATCCTAGGTTAAAAACTTAGCTACTCATGTTCTCTACGAAAAACATAATAAAAACATAAAAAGAAATAGATTAAGAAAAGATAGATGAAAGAAGAATTGTGATGAAGATTTGTCAATTCTCCGTCTTCGATTCTTCGTTCACTCGTTCCTCTCGCTCCAAGATTGTGTCAAAAAGTCCCTAATTCGTGCTTGGTTTGAGCTTAAATAGATGTCCCAACTTGGTAGATGATTTTAGGTTTCCTTGTGTGATTAAAAGTCCAAAATTGTCTCCAGCGTCTTTTGGCACGGCCGCGCGAAAATCAGTGCAATTCTCACACGGCCGCGCGAGAATCGCCGAAACCTTCTGCCCCAGTTCTGCTGTTGGCACGGCCGTCCCAGTTTTAAGTGTAAATCTGGGACGCCCGTCCCATGCCAAATTCTTCAGATTTTTTATTATTTCACTTTTGGCTCATATTTTCTCCAAAATTGCAGTTTTGACCCCAAACTTTTCAAATTCTTCAATTTGTACCTAAAATACAATAAATCAACTTTTTAAGCACCAATTATCGTTAAATCACACCAAAAGCTCAAATAAAAAGATACGATAAAGTGTAAAAATATACACTTAACAACGAGAAAACCTAAAAGTCGATCACTAGTCCAATTTTAGTATTTCTACAGGATGGAGCTTAACAGAAACATGAAGAGTAATGACAATAAGGGATTGAGCAAGTTGTATCTTGTTTTTATCTAGAAAATGTATCTAACTATTTCAATTCATAATACAAAATCTATGGAGTTTTGTTTATTTGCAACAACTAATACAAATCGTTGTTTTAGATATGATTTGACTGTTACAATATTTTATGATCTCTTCTCATAATAAATCCCAAAACGAAATGAAAATAATTTTCAAACATTGATTACTTTGTTGCCTCCACATACTATCTTTATATTCATCGTCGTTCCAAAGCACGATGGAAGAATATTATCAGCGGTCCATTCGTCCCAAACATTTAAAGACGCCGCAAATAATCTTGCATTCCAACTCACACATTCTATATATACAAAATATTATGTTTAGGCCTCGTTTGCTTAGTTATACTAAGTTCTATTAATTAAAATAGTAGGGACTAATAAGATGTGTGGTTGATAAGATTCACGTTTAGTTATGTCTAGCGCATTATACTTAAAGCCCGCATTTAAATGCTACTATTTCTTTAAAGTAGTAGCGTCCCTCTCCCTTGTGATTAGGTGATTAAAAAAGGAAAAGACAATTTTATCCTTAAAACAATATGAATTTTGTTAATTAAAAGAGTTTTTAGACATTTTATATTTACTACCAGAATTTAATAAATTTAATACGAGATTTACTCTAAGAAATCAAACATTTTACTGATTAAATAATTAGTTAGCTAGTAAGATATAATCCAATCTCATTTTATCCAATGTGTTCCGATATAGGTAAATAAACTATGTCTTAGGATAAATTACGATTACCATAAATAGTATTCCTATTTTTAGATAGTATTTTTTTAGAGTCCGTTTGGATGAAGGCATTTAATTTGTGGAAGAGATTGGAAATGACTCCAATTTGGAGTAATTTGAAATCTACCACAATTGCTCCAAAAAACAACTAAAAATGAGGGGTGTGAATTTGAAATTCATCCCCAAATTCCTTGATCCAAACAAGTTCAAGTGATTTATTATTATGGATTTGAAATCCCTTCTCCAAATCCATCCATCCATCCAAATGCACTCTTTATAGAAATTATAATTACACATATAGGAATGTATTGAGAAATCTCTCTCTCTCTCTCTCACAAAAACACACACACACACACACACACACACACACACACACATATATATATATATATATATATATATATATATATATATATATATATAAGTTTGATACTAGATTTGGTCCAATAAATCGAACATTTGGCTAACTAAATATTCTTGCTGGAAATTGAGTTATAAAAAATATAACCATAAATCACAAGTTGACATGTGACAACAATTACGAATAAAATCATCTATAAACTTTCAATTAACAATTAATTTAATAAACATTCATTGAAGTAGATTAATTTTAGGGCCTTAAGATATAAGTCCCTAGTGAGAAAACTTATTAGAACTAAATGACAAGCTTAACTAAACATTTGCTACACATCCTTTATAAAATTCATTCCAAAAATGCCCCTCCACTCACAAATTAGAAATCTGCTTTAAGTAAAATAAATTGCATTTATCATCGTATTAGTATACATTTAATATTTTCATTTTTCTATCAAATATTTTTATTTTTATTTTACAGAAAACACGTTTTTTTTCTTTCTTCATTTTGACATTTTTAAACTATTATAAAACAAGAAAAAAATCCTTTTTTTTTCTGTATAATATTGAAAATTACAAAAACATGTTTTTCATTTTTTTTAATTTGGTTTACAGATTTTAGTTAATAATATATGATATACTGATATACTATAATATACCGGTGTACTATAATATTGAAAATTATAATTTTTTTTTTCTCGGTCGTAGTCACCTATAGAAATCCGTAGGAACCCGTAGTAATCGTAGCCATCCATAGTCATTTGTACGCAAAATTTGAAAATACTCACTTCCCTTTTGAAACCCTAGCCGTCAGTCACATAGACACGTACAGTATGCCGTAGTTACTCATAGGCATTCACACTCATAAAAAAACGAAACCCTAGATCTACAACCACAACCACCATAGTGCCGCCTGCGGCAGCCATTGTCTTACTTATCTCCATAACCACCCTCCACCCAAAATCGAAACCACCACCACCCTAATTGCCTCCAAAACCACCCTCCATACCGACCGACTCCATAGTCGCCGCCATTCACGATAGACGCCTCCATCCCACCGCCGCCATAGTCGCCGCTAGGTACACCACCCACCATAGCCGTTTCCATAACCAAGCCCCTCGCCCAGAGATTCTCCTCAACCAGACCCACCATACTTGGTGTTGTCACCGCTTGTATAACCAACCCACTATATATACCCTTCACCGTCACCAAATAGATCTGTCAAAAATAAGAAAAAAAATAGAGAAAAGAGGAGAGGTTGGCTTGGGGGCGAAAATAAATGTATGAGAGAGAGAGAGAGAGAGTGCTGTGGAACCAGAGAGAGAGAATGGGTGGGGTACGGATAGAGAAAAGGGGTGGGGTACGGCGGTTGAGAGAAAAAAAAAAAACAGATAGAGAAGGGGTTGGGTGGGCGGCTGGGAGAAAATAAAAGTAGGGGAAAAAGAGTAAAATGAAAAGTATTTTTTTATTAGAGTAAATTGCAAATACTACCCCTGTGTTATCTCGAAATAGCAAAAACCCCCCTGTGATAAATAAACTAGCAAAAACCCCCCTGTGAAATTTAGTCAAAGGCAGAATCCCCCCTAGCTGATTTTTTAGACTTGAAATGACAAAATTGTCCCTCAAAATGTATTTATATATATACATATTATATGTATATTTATTATTTTTAATTTATTTGTTTAGAAATTAAAAAAAATAGTAAACAACTAAATTGATTATTTTTTAAATAAAATAATTAAAATATTTATAAAATATAAGAATTTATTAATTGCAAGACTCCAGGGGTATTTGTGTCTTTTTATATCAAGTCAACCCTCAAATAGTTCCATAGGGGGGTTTTTGCTATTTAAATAATTTCACAGGGGGGTTTTTGCTAGTTTATTTATCACAGGGGGGTTTTTGCTATTTCAAGATTACACAGGAGTAGTTTTTGCAGTTTACTCTTTTTTATTAATTATATGAAAAGGGTATTTTCGGGTTAAATAAAAATTAAAGGATGTGGATCAAATTTTATTCCGAATTAAGGATTTAGTTAAAATATTGTATTTGAGATTGTCTCCTATATCTAATTAGGTTTGATTTTAGGGGTGCCTAGCATATTACCCCTTAATTTTAAGTTAATATTAAAATATTATTTCAAATATCAAATGAGTATTTAATAATTCAATTTTTATATATAGAATCGAAGTTGATCTAAGTGATCCACATGTTTAGAACTTAGATGCATTTAAGAAACTACAATGAATTTTATAATCGTTTTTCTTTAGGAAGGATGTTAGAGAGAGAAAGAGAGAAGAGAGAGAAACATTAATTGGAAATTAGATGTTAGATCGATCGATCGGACTTTTGAGGGAGGCATCGTCGGTTGACATACCAATATGCAAAAAAACGCGTAATTTCATCATAACTCAATTTCTTCTTCTTCGAATCTCTCTCTCACTATATCCAACACTCTGATAAACGAACTCCTCTCTCTCTCTCTTCCCAAATCACCTGAAAACCCCAGTTAACTCCAGCCATTTTCCCAGATTCGAATCAATGGGGCGCCACTCTGTATCCGCCGCGGAATCCGCTTCCGACGACGCCACCGCCGGCCCATTCCGCTCGATCCGAGACCGTTTCCCCTTCAAGCGCAACAACAGCAGCAGCAATTACAGCAGCACCAATACCCTCACGCGCTCGTCGTCCAAGACGACGCTGTCCTCGCACAAAGCCTCCCGATCTCACCACCACCACAAGCGGAAGCTCTCATTGTCGCCGTTTAGAGGGAAATCGTGCTTCTACTTGTGCATTTTCACCGTGATTTTCACCTTCGCCCTCGCCTCGATGGTTTTGCAGAGCTCGATCACCTCGGTTTTGCGGCAGGGAGTTGGCGGTGATAGAATGCGGTGGAGGTGGTCAGTTAAGGACGGGTTGAAGGAAGGGAGCTCGTTGGAGTTTGTGCCTCGACGGCGGTTCGAGCTGAACGGAAGCCGCGTAGATTGGCTCAGAAGCCAGCCGAGAATTGGCATTCGCCCTCCGAGAATTGGTCTAGTAAGTGATTGCCCAGTACACTTTGTTTAAATGTTTGTAATGTGAATTATGACGTGAATAAATTTGAATGCTGTGCTGAAACTGGGGTTTTTTGGTTCTGAGGTTTATGTTGTTCAGCTGAGACTAAATGGTTATACCTGATTAAATTTTCGGAAATTACTATGTTCTTCTTGTATTTAATGATTGGGGAATGTACAACCATGAATACCAAGATTAAGTTGTTTGTTCAATGAGAGAATATTTCAGATCCTGCTCTACGATGCTCTTAAACATTTTTGTTGATATACTCTCTTAAACGTTCCCGGTATTCAAATTTAAGGAATATATGTACAATTATAGAAACAAAAATGCAGATGAAACTGACGAGTCTGTTAATCCACAATATTGGTAATGTTTGTTGCATAAACAATGATGCTAGAATATTATCTACTGTTGAGTGATATTCCGCGCTTGGTTCTGGCTTAGTATTAAATAGCATCTCAAGTGCTTTGAAAGATTCAAGGGTTGGATATGGAAGTTAGAGAGGCATGCATATCATGCCATTTTGTGATGTTATGCAATTTATAGTGTTTCTTTTCACTGTGAAGACGCACAAGTAAACCAAGATTAGATTGCAGCGATGTGTGTTCAGCCTTCGTATCAAAACATGCACAAGCTTCTTTTCTATTCAAGGACAAAGTACTTGTAAAGTGCTTTAAGATTAAATTTCTATGTTCAAAATTTTATCAGTCATCTGTTTGTCTTTGATTATCTGGTGACTTGTGGAAGTGTTATTAGAGAAATCAGTGCATTTTCAAGCGATACGGGTGGTGAAAGAATACGAAGAAAGAAAAATGGGAAGTTTTGGAATATAGGCCTACTAGTGAATTTTATGAAATTAAACCTGAAATAACATACTGTTAATGCTTAACTGAAGAAAAATACTGTAAAACGGGAAACATGGTGATGCTATAAAGCAGTAAAGTAAAACCAATTGGATGGTGTCACCCTGTTCCAACTCTCAGAACTAACATAGTTCAAGTTACAACATGTAAAGGGTTGGCGTTCACGTGTTTTAAACATGTCAGCGATTGAAAAAAGCGCTCTAAGAGTGGAACCTCTCCCTTTATGGTCTTTTTTGACTTTTATCCTGGATAGCCTTATATGTTATTCATGTTAGCAGATCCTATGTATAAATTTTATGAATGGCTAGCTTGAAACCATTCACCATGACTTTAATGTGGACATCTAAAATTTGCCCCAGATATGAGCAATTCCTTGATTTATTTTTGTTAGCTTCTAAAAATGCATTCAGTAAAAGGAAGCAGCATCTGATTTTGCCATCCGTTATGCACATTTGCAGTTCATTTTTTAATATTTATTAGTTTGTATATTTATTTTATCTCTTTTCCTAATGTAAGATCTTGGGGAACATGGAGAAAGATCCTTCAGCACTGCTGCTATATTCCGTGATGAAGAATTTAAAAGGTCTCGGATATCTGCTTAAGGTAATTTTCTCAATTTTGTTTTCCGCATTTGATGCTATTATTATTGCAATGCATGATGAGATGATAATGTTGGTTAGCTTGCAGAATACCGAGGAGGATGAAGTTACCTAATGAGTACATGACTGCAAATTTTTCTTGTGTTTATATGGCAACTTTAAAATTCCATTTTTCTCTGTATTAAGAATTGAGCTCTCCGGTAAGGGTTTGGTGTTTGAGATATATGTATCTTTCTTATTTAATTACATTGAAATACTTAGAATGTATCATTTAACATCATTAAACCAACTAAGAAGTATGCTGGTGATTCTGTGAAAATAAAATCATATCAAACTTTCTTGCTCTTGGTCTAAGTGTATTTAGAATTCTACAGCCCACTGCTGAACCCTCCCCTTCTCTCGCACCTTCTTTCCATGGCCGAACGAATACACTTGCCTTCCGTAACAATTCAGAAGTTTTTTGGCATTGTGACTGAAATGAAAAGAATGACCCAGAGAATATAAAGTACATTCATTATTCATAGTAACATGCCAAATTGATAGATTAGGACACGTACCAAAATGTAAAATAGTACCAATCGAATATTAAAAGCGTGAACAGTTGATGGGCTGCTGTCTCTCAGTTTATCCAAGCTCTAGGCATTTTGTGCATAATTGTATATGGGATCTTAGTTATGAAATATTATTTGCAGACAGTGACTTTTTAGATTTTAGGAGTTACTGTGATACATTTTAAGTTATCTTACAGCTATTAGCTGTGAAGCAATGTCATAATGACTCTTCGTAAATAGATTCATATGTGCTCTGAGTATCTCTCATCCACCCCAATTTTTTCTTGTAATAAATGCATTTAATTACATATGAATTTTATGTATGTGCATGTCATCTGCTAAGGTAACCTTAGATATTGCTTAAAGTTTTCATATGATATATGGCCAGATTTTTGCTCTCCTCGAGTAAAGTTTTTTAGGAGGTAGCTCTAAAATCGTAGGTTGACAGTTATAACCTATAGTTTTCTCTTTACTGAAAACGTTTATGTCTCTTTAATGTGCACATTTAAAAGTGTATCACCTAGTCAATTATGTTCCACTTTCATTTCGTCTTTTACAGTTGTATGCCCTGGGAGATGGCAGAGCACGTCCAATTTGGCAAGAAATTGGAGGTCAAGTCTCAATTTTAAGCCCTGAAAGATATGGTTATATTGATTGGTCAATGTATGTTCCCTCTTCCACTTCTTCTTGTCACTCCAAGAAGTTCCATGTTTAGTCAACTTTTTGTCAGTGCTATATGTTGTTAGTTACTTTTACCTAGATGGTACAGTTGAGTAATACCTTTCGTCTCCTGCAGTTTTGAAGGTATTGTTGTCGACTCCCTTGAAGCAAAAGATGCCATTTCTAGGTACTTTATACATATATTCTTGAGTTCAAAATCTATCTTGGGTTTTCAGTTACATTCTTTAGGTTTTCATCCCCAGCCGTTCATAGTGCATTAAATTTTGGTGTTGTTCATAGATTCCAGTAGAAGTGAGTAGTACCCTGATGGCAGATACATTTCGCCTTACACTATTATTGTACTTGAAAATGAGAGAACCTTGAACAAAAAAAAAGAGAAAAGAAAAAGTAAAACAAAAGAGAAACAATAGCACTCCATAGAGTAATTAGGTAAGCAAATAATTCTAGGAAACAAATATATTTATTAAGAACCATAATATGAGTGAAAATGGTCAAGAACAAGTTTAATTTTACACTGAGATACCAAATCAGTTTGGTTTGACAGGTATTTAACCAGATTGCTGCTGCGCTCACCGTAGTCTTGTTGATCCATAGCATTCTACACCCCACGTATCTATGAATGTTCTGCACTTGTTGTCTAAGGAAGTTGAATGCAGAAACTATGCAATAATGAATCCAAAATTTATGTTCCTGATACAAGACTACATTTCATCTTCAACTTTTTCGCAGCTTACGTTTTTGCTAACCGCAGCTGGCACGCCTCACTTAAAAATTCTCCTTTGACTACATTGTCAGTGTATTCTCTGCAACAATATTTAACATAACTTGATCTGCATTCCCGCATAAGAAAATTGATTTTAGAGTAAGAGTGGATGACTATTTTCAGGTAAGGTGCATAAACTATGCGTTGTTAATACCCATGGTTCTCTAAAATGATAACTCTCTATTCTTTTGTCGCCTCCGGCATGCAACTATATGACGGAAAGTCCTGAGCAATGTAAATCAGATCGCAGTCTTTTGATATGCTATGATTTGTGAGTTTTATATCTATGCAGCCTTATGCAGGAGCCTTTCTGCTCTGTGCCACTGATATGGATTATTCAAGAGGATACTCTTGCCAGTCGCCTACAACTGTATGAGGACAAGGGTTGGGACCGCCTCATTTCTAATTGGAAAAATGCCTTTAAAAGGGCTGATGTTGTGGTGTTTCCAGAATTTTCTTTTCCGGTAAATACGTCAAACCTGGATTTCTTATATACTTAAGATATGAGTCATGGAAGGATTGTAATAGGGATTTTCTCAGTTATTTACTATAATTTATGCTATATCAGATGTTATACAGCGTGCTTGACACCGGAAACTTCTTTGTGATTCCTGGATCACCAATAGATGTCTGGGCTGCAGAAAGCTATAGTAAGACCCATTCCAAATCTCAGCTGAGGAAGGAAAATGGTTTTGATACTGACGATATGTTGGTTCTGATTGTTGGGAGCTCATTCTTCTACAATGAGCTAGCTTGGGATTATGCTCTAGCGATGCATGATTTAGAACCTTTGCTCATCAAATATGCGGGATCAGATGAAGCTGGATTTACATCCAAGTTCATTTTCCTTTGTGGAAACTCCAGCAAAGATTACAGTGATGCTTTACAGGTTTGCATTCACAATTTGCCATTTGAGAAGTACTTTTGTATCTACTGCATTTTTTTCAGTCACATACTAAACTACATCCTTCATATGTGATCTTTTGTTGGAAATTGAGAACTAATATTCCAGTAATTATTCTTGGTTGACGACATTCCAGATGGTCATTATGTAAATGATATAATAAGTCTCAGTTTGCTTGAGATCTTATTGTAGTGTACTGTGTATCTCATTTCTTTTTGTAATTGTAATTTCTTTTTGTTTTATTTTACTACTAGAATTGAAAATGCTTTGATATTATTGGTATATCTTTTACTTGGATAACTAGCAGCTTATTTCAGCTTCATATATTAACCATCAACTTATTATGTAGGATGTTGCTACTCGTTTGAGGCTAAATGAACAATCGGTGAAGCATTATGGCATAAATAGTGATGTGAATGGTATAATACTGATGGCTGACATTGTTCTGTACGGCTCCTCCCAAGATGAGCAAGGATTTCCTCCCTTACTCACAAGAGCCATGTCATTTGGAATTCCTGTAATTGCTCCAGATAAGCCCGTCATAAGAAAATATGTATGCCATTCATTTTTTTTCCCCTTTTCATTTCAGCTATCCTTGGAAGGTTGCAATTTCCTTATTACTTTCTATATTGGTAGGTTGTTGATGGAGTTCATGGGGTAATTTTCCCAAAAAATGACCCCGAGGCGTTAAAGAATGCTTTTTCCCTTTTGATATCTGAGGGAAAATTATCAAGATTTGCACATTCTGTTGGTTCATCTGGAAGGCTACGAGCCAAGAACATGTTTGCAGAAGAATGCATCATTGGTTATGCAAAGCTGCTGGAATATGTATTTGATTTCCCATCAGATGTTTTGCTACCTAGCCGTCCTTCACAGCTGAACAACAGTATATGGGAATGGAGTCTCTTCAGAATGGAACTTGACCAGATATCTAGTCACACAGAGAATTTGTATCTAGAAGGTTCGTCGGGTCCGAATTCGGGTATTGTTTACGACCTTGAAGAAGCCATGTTAAACGACCCTACGTCTAGTAATGAAACACAGGACCACTCTGAAAATCCCGGAGAGGATATCCCAACAATTTTGGACTGGGATATCTTGGACGAAATGGAAAGCTCTGAGGAAGTTGACAGGCTAGAAAGAGAGGAGGTATGGTCATGCTTCTGACATGTGTGGAAGTGTTTTTCTGCCATCTTCCCCTTCCCCTATACGTCTATTTGCTATTTAGCTAAAACATCATTTATGTCTGCAGATTGAGGAAAGAATGGAGAAAAACATTGGTGAATGGGATGACATCTATCGTATTGCTCGAAAATCAGAAAAGCTTAGGTTTGAAGTGAACGAGAGGGATGAAGGTGAACTAGAAAGAACTGGGCAGCCAATATGCATTTATGAGATCTACAATGGTGCTGGGGGGTGGCCATTTCTACACCATGGTTCATTATACCGTGGATTAAGTCTTGTAAGTTCCTTCACAACTAAGTTTATGTATTTAACTTGGTCCAAGTTTTTTTTTTTTTTTTTGAGTAACGGGTGGAGCAAGAATGCCCACATTTTAAAGTTGATAGAGCAAGTATTGCCAATACCATAGTAATCTTATGATTTGACACGATTTGGTCAACGATTAGATCAATTCATTTATCTTATTTATTTCTCCTTTTTGTGCATTGATTTGTCATTTCAATACCTTTTTTTTTCCTTTTTCTTCTTTTGGTTTCTGTATCAGTCCACTAGATCCCGAAGATTGAGTTCAGATGATGTGGATGCAGTTGGTCGGCTTCCCATCTTGAATGACACATATTATCGAGATATCCTCTGTGAAATTGGAGGAATGTTTTCAATTGCTAATGGAATCGATGACATTCACAAGGGTCCCTGGATAGGATTTCAGTCATGGCATGCGGCTGGGAGGAAGGTATGTATTTAGACTTCCGAGTCATCCTATACATGTAGACCAATTATTTTCAAATTGGATGTTACCGGAAAAATTGGGATCTCTTATCTACTCTCCTCGGAGTTAGCTATGGATGTCTTTTCTGCTTGCATATTCAACTAAACTTGCTCGATCTGCCAGGTGTCTTTATCCAAAAAAGCCGAAGAGGTTCTAGAGAAAACAATACAAGAAAACAGTAAAGGAGATGTGGTATACTTCTGGGCATGTTTGGATATGGACGGTGGCATTGTAGGAAACAATGATCTGCTTACTTTTTGGTCCACATGTGATATTATGAATGCAGGAAGGTGCCGGTAAGTATTTATTCCCAAAAAAATCACAAGTCTTTAGATATATTCAGTCCAACAGTCAACTTCTTTTCTCTCGAAAACCTTCTTGTGGGGCCATTAGTAATTTTACATAAATGGCAATTTCCTTTCCCTTAGAAAGTTAAATGCAATCTTTACATGGTTATTTAAGTTGGATTTCCTTTTATGTCCCTCGTGTACTATGAGTCATCTTCATCCACCGGATATAAACTGAATAATTTAGTATCTTAGAGATTAAGATGGTATCCGTGTTTATTTTACTTCAAAAAGATTGTATAATAATGATGCTGACACATCTTTTCAAACTTACAGGACAGCCTTTGAAGATGCATTCCGAAGATTGTATGGCTTACCATCAAACGTAGAAGCTCTTCCACCTATGCCGGAAGGTGGTGGCCATTGGTTGGCACTTCACAGCTGGGCTATGCCCACCCCTTCCTTTCTCGAGTTCATCATGTTTTCCAGGTTCTTTACTACGTAGTTTTGTTATTAATTCATTCATACACGATTTTTTTAGTCTCTTCTAACTGCAAAAAAAAAAAAATGATGACACCCTAGGATGTTTGTGGATTCTCTTCATAGTCTACACATAAATACATCGAAGCCATCCGATTGTCTTCTAGGCTTTTCCGCACCTGAGGTTAGTATAATAAACGAACCTAAAAATGCAATATTCTAGACTTTTAATTGCAGCGGAAAAAAGATAATATTTCTCATGCCCGACTGTTTCTTTACACAGAAGAAGCATTGCTACTGTCGACTTATGGAACTCTTAGTAAACGTGTGGGCTTATCACAGTGCACGTAAAATGGTTTACATCGATCCACATTCGGGGTTATTGAAAGAACAGCACCCCGTTGAACAACGTAAAGGATTTATGTGGGCAAAATACTTCGACATCACTTTATTAAAAAGTATGGACGAAGATCTTGCTGAGGCTGCGGATGATTATGACCACCCGTACAAACCATGGTTGTGGCCGTTAACTGGTGAAGTTTTCTGGCAAGGGGTGTATGAGAGAGAAAGGGAAGAGAGATATAGGGTGAAAATGGACAAGAAGAGGAAAACAAAGGAGAAGTTACTTGACAGGTTAAAACACGGGTACAGGCAGAAGACACTAGGAGGAGGATAGGGGCAAAAACGTAATGTTATTGATCGAAACAATTTGTCTATACACACAGCATTGGAGTTTTTTCTTGCTGACACGATCTTCTAACATAACACACACGTAGAAGGCTATGGAGCGGCTCAGATGAAGCCCTTCTTCGACTTTTGATCGCTCGATTTTTTTTTTTTTTTTTGAGGTGTACCAATTTTGACTACCATTCTTTTATTTTTGTCTATACTATTAGTAACTGAAACTTCCCCCCCCCCCCCCCCCCCCCTTTTTTTTCCATCTCTATAGATTGTACATTCCATTCATAGTAATGGAAGAATATTACTGAATTGCCATCTTGTTTACGAAGGGTATACGAGCTTACGGTTGATATCAGCGTAGTTACTTAATTAAAGGCAAATTAGCCAAAATAAGATGCTAGTTTAAATTTACATGTGGGACAATTTTTTTACATGTTCAAATTTTAAATTGTTGTTATGGAAATTTTCGAGGTTAAACTTCTATCAATTTTTTGTTTTGTTTTTGTTTTATATATAATTCAATCGTTCAAAATTTACCTGACTAATTCTCGGAGCAGACGGTTTCGGTTTCGGTTTCAGTTTCCGTTTCCGATTTAAGAGCTCATCTCTTATAGACTTGAGCTGAAATACCAATTGGAGAAATATTTACAAATTATTTAAACATGTGTATAACAAATTTATTATCAGATAATTTCTGTATATATTTTAAATTATTGCTACATAAAAGAAAGCTTAAATTCCATTATCATGTATTTTTTTATTTTGTATTTAAAAAAAATATACTTAATTTGGTTACCAAATTTTTAATAATCTTTCGATTTAATTGTTTACTAATATTTTAATTTCTATACAATTAAATTAAAAAGAAAATAGATATACATATAAATACATTTTGAGGGACAATTACATCATTTCATGTCAAAAAACCAGCTACCAGCCGCACATCCAGCGAGTGAGCCACACGAAAGTCAACCAAGAGGGTTTTTGCCTTTGACTAAATTTCATAGGAGGGTTTTGCTAATTTATTTATAGAGAGGGTTTTTTTGCTATTTAGAGATTACACATGTGTACTTTTTGCAGTTTACTCATTTTATTTTCTATGGGAGTAAATAGTGAAAGAAACTATTTAACGAGGAGTTAGATGTAATTATTCATTTATATACACGAACTCATTTGATCTTTTTAACAGACCAAATTTAACAAAAACGAGAAATTCAAATCTAATTTTTTCCCCAATTCACGTTAATTCACTATTAATTAATCTTGCAGAAGCGGCAACCTAGTATAGGTGAAGCAAAATCTGCATCCATCCGAGCCGCCATTGTTACTAAAGCTTCAATTCCGATTTCATTTCATCTCCTCCAATCGAAAATTGAATTCCGAGTTGAAAACCCAGTTCCCTTCTTCTTCTTCTTCAATGGCAACTCTGGAAGCAGGAAGAAATGAGGGTTCTTGAGTTACATCCTTGGAAGGATTTGTTGCTGCCATGTCTGTAAGTTTTTTAATGATCAGAAACCCCTGTTCGAAAATGGGCGTTTACTTTGTCAATTTTTTGATGATTTTTTATTGAGAGTTGATTGAATATCAATGGTGAAGGGCAAGCCATGGCGAATCATACCAAGACCCCTTCTGGAAACAGTCCTCAACAACCACGCGCAGCACCACCGCGTGCCTCAACCTCTCATCCTCCACGGCCCCCGCGGCGTCGGAAAAACCACCCTCATTCTTGAACGTAACTTACAACCACTACCCTTCTCTCTCTCTCTCTCTATATATATATATATATATATATATATATATAGACAGATGCCTGTATGTGTCAATGTGTGTGTGTTTTCGAGTAATTGTGTGTGCATTTATGTGCACAACTTATTTATCTAATTTCCTGGAATTTGGTAAAGGAGGATTCTGAAAAGATGAAAAATGACGAAATGCTTTTCAACTTATACGAGGATGGTTTCGATGTTCTTCGTTCAATCAATGTATCTAGCTCTGGAAGAATCTTGGAACTACCAACATAAGTAGTAGCTTTGTTCATTCCCAACATAAGAACGAGTGCTAAAGATTCTATCGTATTGTAATAACTTTACAACGTCGTTGCTTTCATATGCTAAAACTGTGTCGAGCTGATGTCGATTCTGTGGTTATCATTAATCTGAAATATGACCTCCATGATGTTGATATATATATATATATATATATATATATATATATATATATATATATATATATATATATATATAGCTCTTGTGTGAATCTTGATTTAATGCGATACTTTCCATATTTCTCTTCGACAGGTCTGTATGAGAAATGGAACACAGGCCCTCACATAACTGGTTACGTCGACTTTGCAGAGTCGATAGAACAATACCATCCAAAGCATGGCCACTCGTACCCATACACCTCATGGAATCTTTGCCCACCTCCAAAACTCGCCACACTCAAGACTCAGCTCGAGAGCTGCCTCGAGTCAATGGCTCGCCGAGCCATCAAACTCGGAAACATAAGCTCCGACCAAATATTCACCACACTCACCAAATGGCACAGCCCAACCACTGTCCTTAACCAAATTCTTAAAACCGACTCGGGTTCCAAAATGCGCGTAGTGAATAGAAAGAACAAAGTCTCCACCTCGAATTTGTGGGAAACTGCAGTTTTCAAGTTATCGGCTGGAGTGAGTGAACAAGAGTTGGATGGGGTTTTTGATAAGAGTGTTAGTGTGGAGGAGGGTTCGTATTATAAGGAGGCTATGGCGGCACTTAAATTGGCCAAAGAGGTGATTGGTGCTCAAGGAAAATGGAGGGAAAATGCGATTCGGGATTTGAATAGTAAGGGCGGGTTTTCTAGGTCGTTAGCAAATTCTGCTACTGATTGGCCTTGCCTTTTGCTGGAGTTATTGTCTTTATCTGCTGAAATGGACTATTTTCAGGTAATTAATCTAGTTGATAAATCTTGATTTACTACATTTAACTTTTAATATCGTAATTCGGCTTACTATGTGAATCGTATTGCCGACTGATGTGGTAATTTGTTTGTTTGAAACCGGAGAGAAGAAAAGAAAGTTGAGCAGAGGGCCTGTTAATTTGCCATCTAATATTCGTACAAGTTGAATTCTTATGTAGCATAAGTGCGAAGTTAACTTTTTTCGACTTTATTTGTTTTATTTGGATGTTCTAATATAAATAGAATAATTAATTGGTATTGTGCTTATCTTTCTTCCATCGAAACAAAATCAGATGCTTAAAAACTAAGATACGTCACAATTTATTATTGGCAATAATTATCTTTAACAGCTGTTTATACATTCCCTCGGTTTTTTAATTTCTCATTCTTATCTGTTTTCTTCCTTTGTATTGGGATTTGACGAAATAAGTAGCCGAAGCTGGTGATAAACAATATTGAGGTTCTGAAGAATGCTGTAAGAGAAGATGATAAAACAATATGTGGATCTATGTATCACGACAGTCTGATTTGGAGAATCATAGGATTGGGTGCAAACGAGAGGTGTCTTCCAGTTGTTCTCGTAACATCTGACAGGTAATGATTCTTACCTTTGCCTTGGTTCAAACATCGATGACTTCATATGAATGATATATCTTCTTTAGAAAACATTTGGTTTTATTTTTTTTCCGGGAAATAGGTCAACACCGATATTGTGGCGATGCTTTTAGTTCAGTCAGAGTCAGTCTCATTATGCATGCTGCAGTTTTTACGATTCAGTTTAATTCCTTTTGCACCAAACGAATGGTATTCGTATTTGAACTAAAATCATGTGAACTTGTGTGTGAGGTGAATAAAAAATAACTTGCTTATTTTGCTAGAAGGTCCTGTATCTATTGTCATTTTTACACTCAGCTGAAATTAAATCTGCAGCTACTACTCATACCGAGCTTTTATGGATTTTGGATTTCCCGATATTTTCATCTCCCGCGAGGTAACCTCGTGCTTGTTTTTTTTTTCCCTTCTTATTTTGAATATTTAATTTTTCAGAAGGATGAACGGTTTATCTTGACGTTTTGAAATTTAAAATGCTTGTTATTTTCAGTTTTTATATGATCTTGAGTAATTATTGCAATTTTACTGGATTTTTCTATCTGGTATGGTGCTATGACTAACAAGTAGGAATTTCTGATGAATTAGCAGTGGACACGTTTTGGAATTGAAGAATCCGTTTCTCAAAGTAATAAACCTGTATAGAAGTTTAATGTGAAAGTATACTTTCGAGAAAGGAAATATGCATTTTAAAAGTACCATGCATCTTGATACAGACACAACCATATATCCTAAAAGAAAAATGTTTTATTCTTGTCTGAAGCGCGTAAGAAGAGCAACAGAGATTATGCTAAAGAGATATACATTTCTCTTCTTACACCATCTTCTTGATATATGCTTCTTTGGACGATACATGTTTGTAATAATTATCAAATAATTATTTATTTCATGCTTCCGCTTGTGTGGTCCGATTCAGTCATTTCTTTCGTTTCACATCTTCATTTGGTGGTTAAATTAATTTGCGTGAGGAAAATTATACATGGCGATGCTGTTGTTTTCGTTGTTGCCAGTCTATGGAGCAAGGCAATGAGGGAGACAGTTACTGTGTAAGGATGTTTGCCGAAAGTTGAGATACAGGAAATATGTATATATGTCACAATACGAGTCCGATAATCTAGTCTTCCACATTTGCGAATGTTCCTTCCAGTTTCGCACCCGTAAACACTGACATTATGACAATGGATCGAAAGCTTTGCATCGTTTTGTGGCTATTATAATTTATACATATAGTTTGAAGACGTAAAAGAACTGTTCATGAGAAAGGATACATTGAAAGAAACTTGTTATCGAATTGTTCTATGTTTCATGTTTTGCCTTAGATGTTTCCTTTGTCTCTTTAACAAAGTGTTAATGCAATCATTTTTTAATTCTATTCTCGTCATATATTGTATTCTAAAGCAGTTGGTTGAATTTTGATTGGTTTGTATGCAAATTTTAATTGCAGACGTTTGGGTGGACTCCAGCAGAAGCAAAACTGCATATGGTCGATGACTATTTTAGTCAATCTGAGGTATTACCAAACGAACAAGTTTCGTTCATTTCTATTTTGAGTTCTTAAGTTACTCTACACTTCACGCTCTAGACACTCGTAATTAGGGGTGGAAATTGGAATTAAATTTCTGAATTCTGCCGATCTCGATCTGAAATTTTCCGATTTTTGGAACAATATTTTTCAATCCAAATTCAGGAATTTCGACTTTCGATTTTTCCAAAATCATTTGGATCGGAATTGGAATATATATGAGATTTCGATTTCCGATCTGATTTAATTTCCGAAAATTCCGATTTTTTTCCCGAATGATATTGAAATTATTATGTATTTTATATTTTAGGTAACCAAAAATTGGAAATTTTCCGATTTCCGCCGATTCCGATCCAAAATTTTCCGATTTTGGAACATGTTTTTTCGTTTCCGAAATTCCGAATTTTTCCAATGTTTTTGGAATGGAATTGGAACTAGTTTTCACTTCCGAAAAAAATAATATTTTTTCCGAAATGGCTAATTCCGATCCGATCTGTCCGATTTACGCCCCTACTCAGTAATATTTACTTGGATTTATATTCGTCATGTTCAAAATATCATTGTTTTATTTCGAAATTCAACATACTGCAAGCAGACACACACACACACAGTGAATTTTTAGTGCTGCATTTACTGACAATGGTTATCCAATCTGCAGTGGAATGTGATTGTCGACGTACTGGGTCCGAATCCAAGACATCTTTTTGAGGTTTATGCACTCAAGCTCAGTAATTATTACCAGAAGTAAGTTTTCCAATAGGTCCCCTCTTGCATGTTTTAAATATTCCGTCATCTTTTATATATTCCATTACGTCCCTTCTTTTATATAAAAGTACCAGAAAATTCTTGAATTCCGAGAACATAAACCGTAAATTGACAACTAATAAATGATATAACCGAGCTCGGCCCCTTTTACTAGAGAACATAATTTTCCGAGTTATATGGAGAATTATTGGATTTGAGATTTGGAAGAGCTTCACTCGTTCGTTTCGTAAAAAAGTGATTACTTCTAATGACAGGGTGATGAACTATGAAAGTACGTTTGAAGATATCGTGGATCTCTATTTAGCATATTTGCAAGTAAGTTATTCTAATTTAGTTCTCGTTTTTTTTTAAATGTTTACGATGAATAAGTGAGATATTTTTTTTTCTTTTCGGGATATACCGTGTCCTTAGTACAACTACTCGTCTACTACAGGTAAATGTGGTAAATCCTGCAATGGATAAAGCACTGTTGCTCCTCGAGAAATTTGCTGTCGATGCACAAAGTGGAAAAATCCCGAAAGACAAATTACGACTCGGTGCCCCTTGGAGGCACCCCCCTAAAAAAGATATCTCACTTTGGGCTAAAATTCAGCTAATGGACTTTATTCAGTCTCTCGTCAGTACGGGTTTTGCGGTAATAGTTTAATCCCACAAATATCATATTATTACGGCTTTTAAGTGAGGAAATGTCGCATCATTTGATATGATTACGTTTCCGAATTATGTCAACTATTTTGCAGGTCAACTATTTTGCGGATTGTTCTCTCGAGTTATTGGACGATCCCTCTGTTCTTGCCATGCTAGAGGTAATCCATCAAGAAAATCCCCTAATGGATTTATGTTGCTTATTTAATATAATACCCCCGTTTTTTTTTTTTTTTTTTTTGTAAAGGTCGGTCTGTTGTACACCCAGCGGGACCCGTCATTCATTCGCCCCGTTACCCGTGGTATTCAGAGATGCCTTGTGAGATGGTAATAAATGCTTATTCCACGGTTTTAAGTTCCTTCGTTTTTTTTTTGGCTTTTGCTGATGTATGTGTAAATACTTCAGGCTTGTTCAAGAAAGGATTGGCTTGAGCTTCAAAAACTCCGTCCGGTACAGGTGGCAGCGTGCTATTCGAGGACGCAGCTATCGACATTTGTTGTTATATAACAAGTAGTCGACGGTAATACGTGCAATTCTTTATATATATATATATTTTTTATTTTAATTTTGGCTAAATTAGTGAAAGTTTAAGTTTACTATTTCAGGCAATAAAGAGACGATGTTCGTTATCGTACGGAGAACTCTTTTGGCCATCAAATTACCCAATTTACCCTTCAACGTGGAATCACTCTGGGGGCAAATTAGGCAATCTACAGATGCAATCTCTGTTCTGTTCCACAAACCAAACGAGAAATCGGGAGTTATACGTGTGTCGTATTTATACTTTAGAATACAAAATTTTGAAGATTCTTAAGAGCAACCTAGTTTGCATTGAGGATGTGGGACAAGAACAAATATGCTTAGATTGTTATTTTTACATATTTTTTTGTTTTAAATTAAAATAAAACCGAGGGTGTTTTATTTATAGGAGTAATTACATATAAGCCCATCAAAACTAATATTCTTGCAAATAGGTCTTGTCGAAAAGTTGTGTTACTTATAGATTCTTCATGATAAAAATACTCGTCTTATTTAAAATTTCGTCGCATCGATTTTCGAACACGATTTAAAATAGATTAGAAAATAGTTGAATTTCACGAATTACAAAACGTGAATGTATTTTTAATCCTATTTGATCGTTGATTTGTTAAATTGACTATAGAAAATGACTAATTTATTTTTTGAAGGATAAATTACAACCACCTCACTGAGGAGGTAAATTGTAATTACAAAAAACCCCCTATTTATTGTTGAGAAATTACATCCAGCTCCTCGCATTTTGTAAATTTCTTACATCCAACCCCTTACGAAAGGGTGTTAATGTAAGAAATCTACAAATTGCAAGGGGTGGATGTTATTATGGAAAAATGAAGGGGTTTTTTTTCTCTCTCGTAAATATACCTTAGCTAAGGAGGTGATTGTAATTTACCCTTATTTTTTAAATTTGAGATTAAGATGAAGAGATGATCGACGATTGAAGTTGTCGAGAGAAGAAAGATGCAACAAAGTAGAGAGACGAAAATGCGTGAAAATAAAGTTGAAGGAGCATAATTTAGTGTTAAAAAAATATCATTTAGATTTTTAATTACATAAACAACAACAAAATCATCTTCCAATATTCTTAATTTCCCTATGCCTTTTCTTTTAAAAAATATTTTTAACAGTAGTAAAATTATTATTTAACGAATTTAAGTTCGATTTATATTTAAAATCGAGAACTTTAGGGAGGTCTTCGGAGTTCTAAAAAAATACAAGGCATCAATATATATATAGATCTAACCTCAAGGGAATAAATACAGTATAATTCACTCAATATTTGGTCAATCTTAAATTTTTTTTTATATAAGGTCAATGATAATAGGATCAACAACATTGTATGTGTATTTTTTTTTTATAATATTTTTTTTATTACTTTTGAAATAAAAGAAGGTAAAACAGATAAAACATATTTTCTATAAATTTAAACAGTCAAACACTGATCATGAGGGAGATTTTTGTAATTATACTTTATCTCTAGGGGTTTTTCCGTAATTTATGGTTTGAGAGTTGTGAGTTTAGGAATATGGGTGAAAAAAAGCAGCACGCAAGAAAATGTTGGGTGGAGTACTGAACAATTCACGTGGAAAGATTCATCTCATCATTTATTTGGTATTAATACCTAACCCAAAAAATAAAATATAAAATAATACATTAAATATTTTAATTAATTAATTAATTAATAATTAATAATTAAGTGAGATCTGTAGTTGTTAGGCGTATTCAAGGCTCCTTCATGGTATCCTATGACATTTCCATTCTCTCTTTTTCTACTCATACATATGTATGTATGTATATGTGTATATTTATAGAGAGAGAATATACAATGTATATATATAGAGAGAGACATATATATATATATATATATATATATATTTATTGCATTAATGCACACAATGGGAGGAGGATATGCAAACATGCTCATCAATTTGTACGAGAAAAGCATTGCAAACACACACACACACAAACATAATTAAAATACAATTAAATTACGCTCGTATGATTTGCAAGCTACTATATTAGGTTTATCCAGTGTACCTATACAGTTTAACTGTGGTTCATTACTTCATTCATTAAAAAAAATTAAAATTACCCAAGAATTATTTTCTGAAATATCATATATTCTAAATAACGTGAGACATATTATAATTAATTCATAAAATTAATGGATATGATAGTTTGACGGATAATATATTGTATTTGATCGATCCGTTGTAGCTATACCATTCTCGTTTTATTTTCTTCTTAAAACTAGGATGTTAGAATTTCTTTTTACTATTAAATTTTGCAAAAAGAAAAAAAAAAAAAAAAGGAAATTACTTCACACATTGTTTTAATATTTATTTTATTTTCAAGCCCGTAAAAGAAAAAAAAAAGAAAAAACAAGTAAAAATAGAAGGACTAAAAAAAAAAAAAAAGTAGATTGATGTGAAAAGCGCGTGGAAGGGTGGTGGGAGCCCATTCAGTTAGAGACCACTTTATAGCCTTTTCCAAGTTAACGTAACTTCTAAATTTACAGTTAACACCAATCCCTAAAAGTTATTTATATATATTGCCATCAATTTCAGCTCACCTTTTTTTATTAATAAAATAATCTTTTTTTTTTTTTTTTTGGATAAATATTTATAAATATTAATTAATTTAAGTATTAACAGCGAAGCCATGCAGTCATCACTTTAGACAGCAAACAGAATAATGAGAATGGTCTTCTAAGTTAAGAATCTTTTCTTTGCTTGATTTTTTATTTATTTATTTATTAAATAATATCTTAATTTTATTTGCCATTTTGATCTTGTTTCAATGTGTTACTCATTATAAAAACTTAATGACTTATTAATTTTATTTTTCTTTCATGTACATATATCATTAACTTCATTTTATTGGCATTTGTTATTGTGAATAATTACACTAGTTGCTCACCCAACAATATTTATAGCTAAAATTGAACATTTGGAAACTCATAAAAGACTGATAATATCTGTTCCATAATATTTGTCATTTTTGACACATTTTTCTCCAAATTATCTGTTATTTTAAAATTCCAATGCTGAATTAATTATATGTATATTTCAATTATCTCTCTGCATTAATAAGTAAACGAGGGTATTATAGTCTAACAATATCTATTTTACTAAAATCAAAATATTTTATTGAATTTCTTAAGATTTGTGCAAACTTGAAAAACGACACCTATTTATGAACGGATGGACTATGAAGTATATATATATGATATTCATTACCTTTTCAGTATATTTTTTTCACAACAAAAAGAGAACAAATTAATTTACGATCCATATTTTGCATAACTCATATTTAGTAGCGCTATTTCTCATTAAAATCGCGTTTACTCAAATTTAACTTATTTTTTTTTGATAAATAAATTCATTATCAGCTGATGTGAGTAATTAATCGTATGTAAATCAGTGGTGGTCCAAATATATTTAACCAGATGTATCATCTAACCTACATAATCGAAAACAACTATATATACCTAACTTACCATATCCCTTTACTAGCTAATCTCAAAGTGACCATAAAAAAAGAGCTAAATGAGTAGTTAAAGATCACATATCTAACAAAATCAATGCAACAAATACAAACAAGCCAAAAAAGTATTTTGACAACCTCTCTTACCTAACCATAAGTCACACTACCAGCTGGTGTAACCACAAATGGCACCTCATCATTTAAACACTATAATCTTCTAAATTTAATGCTCTCCATAAAATTTTAAAGAAAAAAAAAACGTTTTAACCATGGTTAAAAAAACATCAAATCACCATAAAAAATTTCATGTATTCAACAAAACAAAAAAGGGTAATTTGCAATCACCCCCTACGATAAGTTTTATTTACGAACAAACCCCTCATTTTTTTCGTAGTTACATCCAGCCCTTTCAGTTTGTAGATTCATTACATGCATCAACACCCTTTTGTAGGGGTGGAAGAAAAACTTACAAAATTCAGGAGGCTGAACATAATTTCTCAAATAAAACAAAAAGGGTAAATCACAACCACCTCCTCCTAAGATAACATCCACCCCTTTCACTTGTA